AAACTGCACACTTAAATTGCAAAAAATTGCACACTTAAAAAGTAAACTCCATTTTTCCAAACAGCATCGTATGTCGTGAATTTATATTCAAGAAAAGAGGAAGAGATAATTGGAAGAAAAAAAAATTAAGGAAATGACGACGTTTTTAGTGAAGGTGTCGATCCGTTCTTATCTTGTGTTAAATGTTGTCTTTTTGTTTTTAAATAGGCAACGGTTGGACCCCCCAACAGGCATCGGAAGAGCAGCTGGAGACCTAAAACGGTTTATGACCCGGCTTTTTGTTTTCTCCATTCTTCCAGTTGTCTGGAAGGACAGAGTCTTCCAATAGTCTGGTAGAACAAGGGCTTCCGATTGGAACAGAGCGAAAGCTAGGCAGTGTTGTTGCCACCAGCGTCGATACTAGGCGGTTGTTGCCCTCTTTCAGCGCTACTTCAGTTTTTCGACCGACCCTAGGACTTCAAGTGGATGTGAAGACGGTGCCAGGTGTCCGTCGCCTACCAGCGAATGCTAACAGTTCTCTGAGAGGAAAAGCTGGTTGGTTGCCTACAAAAGCGGGAAGCTTTTGGGTTGCCTGCAGCGAGGGCTTCTCAGTGGTCCAGTAAAAAACGGCTGCTCTCAGTCCTGCTCCCCTATTTTCTGGTGACTGAAAGCAGACGCTGGTTGGAAGAAGCTTTGGATCCTGCTCCCATTCAAAACCGCGAACCGGGCAAGAAAACTGGAATTGTTATTCTGTTGCTATTAAAGCTCCGATAAAGATTTGTAATAAGAACCGGCATTTTAATCCAGAGGTGTAAATCCGTGTATTTTTGTGGCCAGATTTGAATTTTATTTCTTCTCTCATTTGTTTTTATTAAAAATAATGAAAATAAAGTTAAGGTATTCTCCCACACCGTATTTAGTAAACAAAATGCTTATTATGCAAAAAAATACACAATTTTCGGTACACAAGGAAAAATGCGAATTTTATCAACATTCATAAATTTTATCCATAGCCATAATTTTACAAATTTTACTAATTTTGCGTTTTGCTTTGTACAACAGCAGCACAAAAAGCATATTGTCATGCCTCTGTCTGTTTGTACGTGTGTGTATCCGAATGCGTTTTGCCCCGCACTTTCAACACGTCGACCACAAAAATTTGGAGGGTGGAATTTTAACATAAAATTCCCTACTTATGTGCAACCCGCAAATTTAAATTTAGCTTTGGAAATCAAGACTGTTCCGTAAAGGTTTTGTCATGAAAATTATTTTAAAATTAGTCCACCCACTTTTTTCATTTAATTTTGAAGTATTTAGCTCACTTATCCAAGTATTCACGTAAGCAGCTTCAAACTTCATTTGATCATTTTATGTAATGATTCTTTGGATCCTTATATGTTTCGCCAAAATTGCCTGCTTCATATGAAAGAAATGCAAAAATAAAATGATGCTTCTTCAAGGTCATGTGCATGGCTGGTTGGCCATCATCATTATGGGTGAGTTGCTTGCAAACTGTGAGTTTTAATATCGAACATTGCATCAAAGCTTACAAAATCGACGGCCGTTTTCGCTATGCGATGCCACACTTGCTGCATCTTTTTAGCTGGAATTCCTCTCAGACAGTCAGTGGTCTGCGCCATTCCCAAGGTTCGGTTATACCTGCAACCGCAGTAATCCACGAAGCGAGCCGAATAGTTCTCGGTAGCTGAGGAACGCACAGCCCATGGTGCCAAAGCACTGCCACTTCGTAAGATAACCCCGTTGAAAAGACCTGAAATTGACAATGAAAGTTGTCCGGTATTTCTTTCAGGAAAAGATATGAAAAAAAAAAAAAAAAAAAATTGCAAGAAGGCTGAAGATTAGGTAATGAATGTAGCAATGGTCAAAATAACCATAAAAGAAGGGAAAAAAGGAACATGTGTTGGCAACACTACTGACGAATCAATGGTAAACTAATAGTCCCTGAATAGCCATTTCAAATACCAAACACGTATTAAGTGAGCGAAATATGTATGAAACTGAAACTCTACTTATTTTGTTCTACTGAAAGATGTAAATAAATACGCCTGAAACAACTTAATTATGTCTTTTTTCCCCTCACTTTATGATTTCTAGCTTCGGGTCAACAAAGTAGCGTTTAATCAGCAAAGTTTACATGAGACCCAAGATGAAAAATCCGGAAACTTATCTTTCGTCTTCGGCGATATAGCCAAAATGCTTGCGCATGCAGCACCAGCGCCCAACCCTCCAACAACAATATTATTTGGATCAGCAGCAAAATTGCGCGCATTTCTTTTGAGCCACCGAATCGCTTCGATCTGATCATCCAGCCCATAATTCCCATGTAAATCCTGGTGACTTGCTGTCAGAAAGCCTCAAAATATCACTTTTACTCACTTCAGTACGTCTGATAAATTTTCGACAGGCTCTTCCAAAAACTGCTTTTACAGTCGTTGTCTCGACAAAGATTTCTGGAGGCAGTCGCTCTAATAAAAAATTTCTTGTTTTTCAGTTTTTCAAATTTTAGAAGTACTAACAAAACTCCAGAATTATGTCTGAAAATTCTGACTTGCCCTAAAGTAAGCACAGACTGACCATTCAGCCCATGCCCACATGAATGCTTGTACTGCAAGCTACAGTAGTGAACTCAAGCTAGAATTTACCAGGCTTACTGTGCGATCATGCGTTTTTGCACTGCACTTGAAGCACTCAGGTCGTTAGCTGCATGACTTTTTTGCTTTACACTTAACTTTTGCGCTCACTAGCGTAAATTACCGTAAATTTGCACAAAAAAAATGAACAGTTTGCTAGCTGAACAACTTTGCCGCCAAAATTTTAATTGTCCGCACATAAGAGACATGCATACCTAGAGATTAATTTTGAAGTGTTTAAGTTGTACTTGGTCAGAGAACATAATCCTAAATTTTTAGCTTTCTATTTTTTTTAGTTCCCGAGTTAGCAGTTTTCCCGGCAAAGCTTTCACAGGCCCGTAATTGGGTAATAAGCGTACTGAGGCCAAATTTGAAATCTTTAAGTTGTACGCGATTGGGGAATATACGCTTGAAATTTCAGCCTTCAAGCTGTTTTGGTTGCCGAGTTCGCGGTTTCCCTGACAAAAATTTCATGTGCCTGTACGTGAGAACCACGAACGCCTAGGGATTGAATTTGAAACCTTTAGTTCGCAGGCGCACAGAGAACCGGCAGTGTTCCCGCTCTCTATCTTGTCTGGTTCTCGAGATCGCTTTTCCGCCAGAAAATTTGCATATTTTTTAAGGCGTTCGCATATGAGACCCAGACACTTATGGCAGTGATGGTTTTAAAACGGGAGGGTCGCAAATGGTGTAGCCACATACTCCAGAACTTTCAGCCTTCTAGCTTTTTTGGTTCTCGAGTTGAAAGTGGGTGACAAAAAGTGCGAACACATACGAACACACACAGCCTTTTGCCAATATGCGTTTTTGCATTTGCATACATGTAGAAACTCATATAATAAAC